GATCATGAGAGCTTACACATTTAAAACTCAAAAAATGCTTTCAATAATAGAAAGTAAAGAGGAAAATAGGGAGAAAACACAATTTTTTTGCTGATTGCACCGCAGTCCCTCTATAAAAACATAAAAAAACAATAAAGAGTCAAACTTCATAAATGTAAATTTCAGCCATTTTAAAAAGATTCAAATGTAAAAAAAATAAGAAGAAAGATAAAGAAAAGAAAATAAACTGTCTCCCTGAGAATATAGCATGTATCAGTGTGCATGAAATTAATTTACTTTAACTTAACTGATTATGAAATCGTGCCAGAGAAATTAATTCACCAAGTGATACTTTCCCCAGTGGTTTTGGACTCACATAACCTCAAATTTAACAGGCACAATGAACACAAGATAAAGTAATACAGAATATTAGTTGTTAACTACGTAAACCTGGCAAAATGCCATGTTAATACATGCAATTCAAAGGATTACAACTGAAAATTAAACTGGGCAGGAGGTTTGGGAATATATGTGTATGCAGGCTTTGCATTCTGAATATAAATTTCCCTATGTATTTCATTCATCCAAATACAACTGTGTTTTGAAGCAACCTGCATTCCCAGGGTGTAAGAATTAACAAGGTCTGTTGCAGATATCGCAGAAAAACAGCCAAAAATCTACCTGCCACTACTGAGTAGAACATTCCTGTCAGAGAGAGACCGATAACTCTCTGTTTATTCCATTTATGTGTGTGTGTGTGTGTGTGTGTGTGTTTATGTGTAAAGAGCAGGACCACGCAGGGATGCGGTTGCCTCTATCTAGAGGCATTAACAGGTCTGACATTACGATTTCATGGTTGGTTGGGTGGTGTGTTTGTTTGTTTGTGTTAGTGTGTGTGTGTTGTGTGTGTTTGCGTGGGGAGCACGCCGACGTCGACACTTGCGGGGTATAAACCGCACAAAACCGCGGACGGACGTGCGTTAGATACACGTCGGGATAAATGGAGAGAATCTGTCCCGCAAGTACCGAGGAAGAGTGAGTGCACTCCCATTTTAGCGAAGGCCAGGCGGAAGGGCAGGTAACGTTAGCACACACGGCGGAGTCTTTCTCCTTCTTATTCTCCCCCTCCACCCTAACGCGGGGGGATTTCAACATTTCTGAGCCGCGGATTGCCTCTGATTGCGGCTCGTTTTCTGCCAACCGAGCTGTGTTTTGATCGCACGCCGAGGACAGGGATGTGTCGGCCGGCTAGCTGCGTGCTAACGAGCCGATGTGAAGTGTCGGCGGCCCGCAGCCAGAAGCTAGCTAGTTAGCGGCATTTTGCTAACGAGCTTTATAACGGGACTTAGTGAGCTTGCTGGTGTGAAACTGGAGGGTTTGCGGGCGGATGCTGCTCTTATTCGTCCGGATTAAAGATTATGGTATTTTAAGGGTTTACACGTAAGCCGGGGTTTGTGATGTGAGCGGGATTTGATTAATGTTATGGGAGCTCCGGGTTGTAATAATCACGCATCGACGGAGTGCTGGTTGCTGCTCTGTTGTGAAAAGACACAGCCACAGATTGCAGGGATTTAGCAGGACCTGGTGTGATAAACATATGCTACTGCCGTAAGCAAATTAGGTAGAGTCGCAGTGAGATAACCCCACAAGAGCTCGGTTGACTTTCTCTTGTCTGGGTCCGAGCTTTGTGCCAGCCTGTTGCAGGTTATTGGTGATGTGAGACAGGAAAGGTGTGTTACTCCCTCCTCAAACTATAAACACAAAGCAGGTACGTTTTGTTTTATTGATAACATTGCAGTTGCTGCAGATATTTCTGCAAGGAGGCTAAGCTGTCTCAGGTTTTCTCTCTATCTCTCTCTCTCTCTCTCTCTGTGTTAACTGAAATGACACATCTGCCTCATCCTGTGCCCCAAATCTCTTCATAGCCCAGGTCTGATGATGAGATACAGGCTATAAAACCAGCCACCTTCCTCCTCCTCCTCCTCCTCCTCTTAAGCAAGCCTGCTTGTCTGGAGTCTTGAACAGGAACAGAGACTGGAAGAGACTATTTTAGTAGGTAGCTACTCCTTTTCCATCCTATCAGCATGAAGCCTTCTTGCGCTCTGGAAAGAGGATGTGGTTACAGGTCAAAACCCCAGCGACACAGATGCATTCGACTGATGGTGTTTTGTCAGTTACAGATCTTTGTCGTAAGTCATAGCGCAAGTTTTGCTCTGACTCACGGGGGGGCATTTTTGGGGTTGTAGTGAACCTGAAAAGAGATGCAAGGATTATGCAACCGAGGCTTTTCTTTTTAAGTCCATTTTTTTTGTTTTATTTTATATCTTTAGGTATCATTTTAGAGAAGGTTGCTGTCGGAAGTTTGACGCCGGCGTCACAAAGATGGAAAGGTGTTTCTGCACGTCCTCCTTATTCACACCTCTTGGTTTCTAGAATTAAGTTATTACAGTGTTATTTATCATGTGAGAAATAGTCTTTAAAAAGTCCAAAACAGTACAGCAGTTGCCTCTGTGAACGCGTTTATGTTTTTAAAGCTCAGGTGGTACTGGTTTATTTTACAGGCTCGTAAACTCCTAATTTCCGAGGACGTTTCCTAGAAAGAACTATGTAATTTGGCACTAATTACAGGTTAAAGCAGAGACATGGTTCAATTGGTATACTTCCAATTAATTAATTCCAATTAACTCCTAAGATAGCTAGTCTTTTTAGCTGGGGCACAGCAGCTGAACATGCAGAAATACACTTGTATGAAGAATAAAGATTCAAGTAATAAAATACATTGAAATAAATAATAAATACTCTTTAAATTGAGCAGAACTAACAGCTGTTTTTAAACTCAACACAACTAACCACTGTTGTAACCTTTCCCACCTATATTTAGTACCAAACAACAGTCCCTTTTAAGAATTATAAGGCATTATTAGGATCTTACTCTAAAATAAGTTGGCTTTAAAAGGAAGCGTTACCGCTCTGTCGCCTTTACTTTAAGCCGAGGCTTTGACAGGTTTTCTGCTCTCAGTAGTTTCTGGGTTATTCCCCTAATGTTTGTGGGTTTCTTATGCTGATCTCAGAGTGAACAAGTGAACTGTGGCTTTGGTGTAGGTAATGAGTAACCAGAAGCTTATTAAGAAACACTCTCCCAGAACAACTATTATCTCACCCTGTTTTTCTTTTTCCTACTCCTAATCAGCAATCGGGTCAACAAGCAACCAAATAAGACGACGGCACACGAGTCTGCATCGAGCTTAACCGACGGATGTGTGCATTTCTGCCATCCGCACTGGGCGGAAGATAGAGAGGGCAGCTGTCAATCATACTGCCCTGCTGAGTCAGGCGCTGTGACAGCTTCATTGCTGTCGGATTAGCCTCACTACACCAGGAAAAAGTGGATCCTCGGTGTTGTAGTCGTAGCTGCGAAGCCTCTCGCTCTCCCATTTCAGCTCTAGTTTGTGCTCGACGTAGTGTATACAGGCACATTCGCTGCATATTCCCGCTGGATGCTAGCCCGTCCAACTTCCAGCCTTAGATGGAGACATACCTTTGGCCGTAGAGGGTGAGTGATGCAGTGATGTCATGGCGGAGCATGTTTTCTGCGGCATGTGGCTTTCCCTCGCTCCTTATTTGCTGGGGTTACTACGAGAGCAGAGTAACGGCAGCGGTGTGTTTGTTTTGTTGGGAATGACAGTGTGTAGTTGAGGGCAGTGGAAAAGAGGGAGAGCTTTGGGGTTTTAAAGGGAGATGTCCTTAAATGGCCTTGTGTGTGTGTGTGTGTGTGTGTGTGTGTGTTTGTGTGCATCGTGAGTGTGTAGGCAGGCGAGTGAGAGAGTGCAGCATTGTGTGTAGTTTTTCTGGTATGAAAGTGTGTAGAGAAAGGTGTCGGAGGGAGAGCATCCTTTTCAGCCATGCCCCTCATTTTGTTTAGCCTTTTGTGGAAAAGGCTGCACTTACGAGTGGGAACCTCAATAACAAAGACGTTCAAAGGAAACCGGTATTGTTCACTAATTGAATATTACGCCGAATTAGTTTGAGCTTTGATCTCTAAGGTCATTGGAGTTGGAGAGGGTGGTATTTATATCTCGGCACAACCACTTTGCCATTTTCGAGAACAGAAATTAACACACTCGCGCTGAGAAGTCCTTCAGTCCTACTCGAGCTCAGACATGCCTACAATCTCGACTTTTAAAGTAGTTTAATGCTTAATTATGCGTATTAACTTCAAAACTTGATTGTCTGTCTTTCTTTGTAGGCGTACACTGAGATTCATCATCAGCTTACCTCCCAAAAACGTTGAGGTAACTGAATCAACGCTGCCGACATTGCTAAAACATTAGTCATTTTAAAGATGAGATAGAACTTTATTCATCCCGAGGGTGTTGAAATAGAGAGCAACTGTTGCTGGCTGCTGGTGTTTAAACTCATATGAACTCAGATTTGTACTTTGGGCGGATGATCATTTCCCAAATGAGCATTGCCCTCGAATTAGTGAGAATTTGCAGAGGAAAGCCCATGAGTTCATGTTGTGCATGTGCTTACTACTTGGGTGGCCAATATTGTTTTTCATATTACCATTTTTGCTTGTGGTAATCATCCGTAATTGCATAATTAAAATCTGTATTAGTTCACTTTTTAGTCCGGTATTACTTCTCTTTTTAGTCCGGTGGTTGGTTGTGTGTGGAGAAATGAGTAATATTGGTGTATATTCACCTGTAAATAAGAGTCCTTATGTTTGTGTTACCTTAGAATGGGTCTTTTTTTGTGCCTTTTGCAGCCACCGTAGTTTCTCCTTTGTGCGTTGAAGGGAAGGATAAAGCGAGGGAGTTGCAATCTGCAACTAAATTGCCAGATGCCACTAAATTTGAAACACTGGTCCTTCTTTTAAAAATGGAAAAATTGAATGAAAACGAAATAATACTAGTATGTGACGAACATGCACATTCGTCTTTTATTCCCATTTTCTAATTTTGTTTTATAACTAGGTACATCTGTGACTATGTTTCTATTAAGACTTTATTTATTTTCAGTTTATGTAAACAGCACCAGCAAATAACACTACCTTTTTTTGATGCCTGTGAAACCCTCCTAAAATTAAAAGTGCAACCTTTAACATCAGAAGAAGATTATTAATATAGTATTAGTAAAACCAGTTGACTGATCCAAGCCTTTTTTTTTTTTTATTCCAGGTATATTTTGGAAGAACACAATACGCCATAGTCATACACTTCTTATGGGGCCTAACACAGATTGATAATAGCTCCTAATGGATAGATTTAATGTACACATAGGTTTTTTTCTCATCCTTTAAAGGCTTTTTAAGGGCGGGAACAGATACAGTTCGACTGTACGCTCTTTGGAGGAGCAGACGTCCTCCATAACGACCTCTGAAGCAGTCACATCATAATCATCACAGCCACTGTCACAGAGCGGGTTCCTGACATCCGTCTTAGCAGGGGTCAGTCCACAGCGTCCACACGTCAGAAACACGACGTGTGGACAGCTGACGAGCGAGGCGTCGCCTAAATCTAAGTGAGACGTTGTCAGCGTGACATCGTGACATTGCGCGTGCACTTGAATGTTTACATGAGAGTGCAGCAGAGATCGTTTGCGTAGCGCTCTGTCCTTTTTTTTCTTTTTCCTCCCAGTGGCTCCTCCCTAATCGTGCAAGGAGAACTTCTCTTTGTGCGTGGAGGATTAGTGGGTATGAATTATTCACAGTCCGGGCTTCATATCCCACATGGTCACTGCTTGTGATTGAAGTTGGAGGTCCTTCGTCCTTTGTCCACCCCACTGAGTATTTCGATGGAGTGTGCTGTAAAGAGAACAGTGTAGGAGGGGATCATCTGCTTCCCAGAATGGCTGGCATTAGCTTTTGGTGGTTTGCAAAAAAAAAAAAAAAGCGTTGATTATGAAGCGAGGCTATACCGTCTTCCTTGTGACCTGATTTTAACATAAGCCACTTTCTAAGCGCAGCCTTGATTTTGCACTTTTCAACCCATGACCGAAAAGTTGAATCCTCTGGTTTCTGCTTCGTAGTCCTCTGATGTGCAGTCGATGAAACCTGATATTATACTGTGTCTGTTTTCCCCCTCAGAAGATTGGGGCACAGCCGCAGTGCCATCTTTTATAAGTAATTAGATAAATGTGGTACAGTTTGACAGAAGGATGACGATAGCTCCTGAAACAACGGTGTCATCTTACCTTAGTCTACATTGTGATTTAGTGTCACGCTCTGTTAAGGTTTTGATCAGCTTCTTTATTTTCAGTGTAGGGACAGGTGCAGAAAAAGGTAAAAATATATCTGTCTCCAATACTGAAGTTATTTATAGTAACAAAGGGAAAATGATCACAAATTTAAAAAAATGCATGACCCTTTTCTTCGCTGAAAACCATATAATTGATATGGATTACGTCATTTCACAATCTTCATGTGTATTTTTTTTTGTCCGACCAATATTCCAAACCCTAAATATTCAGTTAACAGACATAGAGGACTAAATAAATCCAATATAACATTCACATTTCAGAAGCTGAAACCAGAGAATATTGTAACTTTTCCTTAAACCCTAGCTCAAAACAATTCATCCGTCAACTAATTGATTAATTCACCAATCTGAGAGAACATTTCTTAAAAGATTCAAGAACTTGAAAAATGCAGTGTCAGAGTAGGGCTGTGTTTCTCAGCTCTTTAAAAGTTGATTCCAGCTCAGCATTGTGTCGTAGTTTGACCCTAATCTTCTGCCAGTTGGACATCAACTTCTACAAAAATATAATTTGATATTAAGCCAGAAAGTAGACAAGGAACTAGAAATCCCCCACATCACCCTGCCAGCCACAACTAAAGCTCAGTGTAGCAGTCTCTCTGTCTCTGTAGCCCAACTTGTAGTGACCCAGTTGGCTAACCCAACTGACTTTACGCCACAATGTGTGCCAATGATTCGAAGCCTTTGTGTCCCTTAAAGGGATATTCCAGTGATTTCACAACTTCCTCCCCATCACAGTTTCCACTTCCCTCAGCTGTTTTCTGTCATTAGTTGAAAAAGACTGACACTACGTTGCTGTTTTTTTACAATACCAAAGAATGAGTGAGTGACTAAAGAATCTGACAGCAGGGTGTGTTTTGGTGTGTGAAGGCCAGATGATTGTGTCATTAGGAGGAATATCAGCCAGATCCATGTATCATCCCCCTACGCTCATACACACCACAGCTGGTTTGTGTTAGAGAGGGGTCACATACTCTTCACCTCCTCCACCCTGAAGCAGCTCCACTTATGGGTGTTCCCTCCATTGTTGTGCTGCTTCTTGTCCATAACCTCCAGGAATGACTAGAATCCTTCCTTTCTGGAGTGGAAAAATTGGAGACCAGACTGGGAAAATTCCTTTGTTTTGCTTGAAAAGAAAGTTAGATCTTGTTTTTTTTTTTTTTTTGCAGCTTTCTCAATTTCTGTCCCATTTTGCTTTCCCCCCCCATTTGTCCATTGCAGATTGTTGGGCTGTCTGGTGAAGCAAACCCGCCATGCGTGAATACAAGCTAGTGGTGTTAGGCTCTGGAGGTGTGGGCAAGTCCGCTCTGGTGAGTATTCCCTCCTGAACCTCCTTCCTGCCCCCCCCGACATCTAACTCCTCTGCAGCGGGTTTCCTAAAGTCATTTAAACAGCAAAAAATGCATTTAGTTTTAAGTTTTGTAGAAAACTGTGTTCTTAACAAAGTTTTGGTGGTTTTGTCATAGGGAGCCACAAGAGCACAGATGTCCTTTTTCCTCATTTTTTGCCTTAAATATTTTCCGTCCATGTGTAGGATGTTTTCTTTTCAAGGGATGACAGATTCTAGGCTTGCCATTGTTTCTCGATGTGAAAATTGCCTGTTTATAGTAAAATGAATCCATTGGACAGATGAAATACTTCAACACAATTCCTTGGTTTGATGAAGAACAGACACAAAATACTGAAGTTTTATGTATTTCGTTGTCATTACAAGGTTGTCAGGAGGCTATGAGTGTCTGTGAAACGTTGCATGACCCGCTGAGCTAACGTCAACCAGGTGTCGAAGTCGGGTTAATCCCTCGAACTGGCAGGCTGACATGTTTAGACCTTAAGACTTTATCAGGTGAACTCGGTCTACCCCTAATGTAAACCTACCGTTATGCACAGTGCTTAATGTAGCACAGCGCTTAATGTAGCACAGTGCTTAATACAGCACACTGCTAATTTAGACTCTTCATTTGCATATGTCAGTGCACATCAGGAACATCCTTTTCGTCAATGTCCTACTGAGTTGTTGTGATAAACACGGCAAGGAGACACGGCGCTTCGGCCATATTTGCCACTCCAGATGTTGTGTTCTCGTGGCCGGGAGGTCACATCGATCTGACGTTGGCTTGCTCTGTGTCTTCTCTTACAGACAGTTCAGTTTGTACAGGGAATCTTTGTGGAAAAATATGACCCTACAATAGAAGACTCGTACAGAAAGGTGAGTGTCCCTTGAGGGGGGAGAGGGAGAGGCACAGTGCTGGATTGGAATGAGCTGATTGTTAGCAGCTGCTCTGCAGGTTCACGTCATGATATTGTGCTCTTTTCCTCTCTCTTTGTCCTGTTTTTCTTTTTTCTTTCCTTCTCTGCCTTTACATGTATTATCATATCTTCCTACTATCTCATGTCTTCCTCTGTATTAGCTGTCTCTCTTGGGTTTTTATTGTATGTAGGATTGGAATATGTAATACGATGTGCCCGTTGACCTGAAATTAAGCTTTACATAATCTTGCTGTTTGTCTTTCTCTTACAGCAAGTGGAGGTAGATGGGCAGCAATGTATGCTTGAAATTCTCGACACAGCAGGCACAGTAAGTAATCTCCACACCACTGAAATCTCTGTCATTACCCAGTCCAGTCTGAAATACCTCAACAACTATTGGATGGATGTAGATGAATGTCTAAGACATTCATTGTCCCCAGAGAACGAATCCTACTGACTTTGTTGATCCCTAGCGCCACCATGAGGTTGAGTGAAGGGTCTCAACATCTATTGGACATTCCTATAAGAGGATCAAAACTTTGGTTTATGACCAAATCCAGCAAGACAGCCTCAGCTGAACTTTATGTTTAGTGGTCATTTGTAAACATAAAGCTAAAAATAAGCATGTTAATATTGTCATTAAGAGCATTTTAGCATACTGATGCATTTAGCTCAAAGCACAGCTTCTCGTATCTGCTAGCATCGCTGTAGACTGGAAGTCTTGTTTATGTAGGAATAACCCCCCCCCCTTTTTTTTGTACAACTCAAGTATGCTAGAAGAATGTAATTGTATGTATGATTGTTGACAGTATATAAGCAACATACACGTCCGTGCTTGTTTCTAGTTTTCTAAATCAAACGGTGCAAAGGGTCTGCCCTCACTGCACAATGGTGTGAGTGTGACAGAGATCCAGCATGTACTGAATCTCAGAACAGGTCACAGCGATGTATGTATGACGACATATAAAATGCCAGAGAACGTATGACAGAGCTCATTCCTTTTCTTTATATTTCTCGCTGTGTAGGAGCAGTTCACAGCAATGAGGGACTTGTACATGAAGAACGGCCAAGGCTTCGCCCTGGTATACTCCATCACAGCACAGTCCACCTTCAATGACCTCCAGGACCTGAGAGAACAGATTCTACGAGTAAAGGACACCGAGGATGTAAGTATACAGCGTGCAAACTTAAGTCTTAGAAGCGTGTTTACAACAGCTCTTCCATATTTCCACAGAACTGATATTTTATGTTGTATCATGGTTGAATGTAGAAACACAGAAAGTGGACAATAGTACAGGTTATAAGCGCCCCACTTCCCTGTTCTCACCCGCCTACATTGTACTGAACCAGATTGCAGTGTTGCTATGGATACCATTCAACACTGTAATCACTACATCTTATGCCAATAATTACAAATATATATTACCTTGACATAAAGCAGGTGGTGTCAGGGTTATTTCTGTGTTGTCTGTAGAGTGAAAACAATAAGAAAGCACTTAGTGTACTTTATTTGGCCTCGCATTAGCTAATATTAGCGTCCCTGTGGTTTGATTACATCATCTGTGTTTAACATGGACACAGACCCATAGTCCCCACTTAGCTACGAGTCCAGTTACAAGTTAGGGAATGTCTTTTTGTCCCAATAGAGAAAGTTCAGCCCTTAGCTTTGCTTTTTGCACAATGTGGTTTTTTTCCCCCTCCAAGTCTGCTCCTCAGTTTGGATCTCTAACAGTGCAACTAAAAAGATGATGTGTCATCTCATTATTGTCTGTTAGAAGCACATTTCCATTTTTTCTCTATCTCTGGTAAATTGTGAAGCTGTTTAGTGAGTAAGCCCTCCATCCCCTCTCTGGTGGGGCAGATAGTGCGTCAGCAGGATCTGAGATGCCCTTTTTTGGTGATCTCTGGAGGGGATGAATGTTACCATAACCCTCTCTCTCACTCTCTCACTCTTTCCTTCTCTCTCACTCTTTCCTTCTCTCTCTCTCTCTCTCTCTGTGTTCCCTGTCACCATCTGAAAAGCCCCTGTGCAGCCTGGTGCAGAAGTTTTATTCATATTCTGTAACATGTTCTATTAATCCTTCTCTTGCTCCCCTTCCTCTATCTGTGCCAGTGTACCCCTGTGCTTTTTGTTTTGACTGGCCTTTTTCAGTGCCTGTTGCTTTGTGCTCCCTCCTCTTCTCTATGGTCTGCCTTGTGGTCTTACTGTGGTCTGGCACTCTGTGCGGGTGATTGGACTGTCAGGGATGATGTGCAAGGAAAGCCTCAGCTCATCAAAAACACACTGGATCGTGAGGCTGTGGTGCTTCATTAGAGCCTCTGTGGTTGAGGAACTGAGGTTAGCCTCAGGCTAACAGATGGATTGCAGGATCAGTGGCTCCTCAACGTGCAAGAAAACAGTTTACGTCCCTTTTCTTTTCCAAACTGTGCTCCTTCTAACTATTTCCCCAGTCTAAATATTTGTGCTTATCTGGCTATTATAGCCACTCTGTCAGCTATCAGTTCACTGGTGATTTAAGCCTTTTACCTATGATGGCCGTGACATCTGTTTATCTTTCTTTACCCCTTGCAGAAATGCACAACCAAAGGAAATGCTTAACGTGTTTTCAGTTTCAGTTTTTTTTTTTTTTATCCGTGAGGACAGATTTCTTATTTGGAGAAAGCTTTCAAGCTATTAGGGAGCTAAAGCAGACATTCTAGTTGCTGCTACAGCTGTTCTCATTCTCAGCTCTTCCACGCACCATTTACCACAAAGCTGGCAAAATGTACACACGCCTTTTAATATTGCCAAGCTCAATTAAAAAGCCTTTTAATGACTGTACATTGAACACAGTAGGGCCAAATTCCACCTCTTCAAAAAAGTCGTTAGGAGTGAAGAATAAAGTGAGTGAGCAGCCACCAGTGTATTAAAAGCTCCCTTCCCTTACTTCCTTCCACAGTTGTTATGTAAGAGAGGTCTTATGACTTTTCCGGGCCATCTCCGTCTCTGCTTGTGTGACTCGGACGGTACTAATGCCTGACTCCATGCTTGTGACTCACCACTCCATTTGCAACGACTGGCTCCATTCATTTCAGCCACTCTGTACTCCCCTGTTCTGTGTTCCCCACAATCCAGAGTTTAGCATGCCAATGTGGGCGGGACAGGACCTGTCTGTAGCATGTTAACAGCGTCTGAACAGATTCTCTGTGGGCTGTGTGGATTCTTCAACTAGGCTAATGCTGCCTTGTGTGCTGCTGACACTGAACATTTTTTCTTCCCTGCATACCTCCATCCTACCATCCCCTCTCTCCATCCTTTTCATCCCGGGCTTGGCTCAAAGTTTGTGTTAGGAGGGCATACCACTGGTTCTCCCAGGACCCCTTGGGAGAAATGTCGTTCAGCAGTCCAGTGCGAGGGGCTTGTTTGGATATCAAACATCAAGCAGCAACCTCCATGGGGTTAATCTAAACATCGCAGTTTCCTGTCGTCTGCCTCACAGTCCAGAGAGAGAGGGGGAGAGAGAAAAGAAAAAAGGGCCCTGGTATATTCATCTTATGCCTTCCAAAGTGTTACATTTTCTGGAGGAACGTGGCCATACCGCTGTCAAAAAGACCTCTGAACTGTAGACTGGTGGGTTGGAAAGGGAAGTTTGAGCAAGTTCGAGCATGTCAGGGTACTACCATATTGCATACAAATATCCAGTTTTTCCACATTTACAAGACAACACGTCTGGGGGCCGTTTCTGGACCAGGAGAAGGGAGCGACTGCAGGATTTCCCATGCATGGATTTATTTGTTGCAGGCCCACCACAAATAGATTTCCCCAGCTGACTTATTATTGGCGCCTGTTGTGCCGCATGCAAAATTTTCCACTAGTTGATTGTGGTACAGCTTAGCAAACAAGATACATAAACACAAATATCCTGTGAACCTGAGACAAAGTACTGAACACTTCCTCAAACCTGAGTCCTGAGCCCTTTTCTCTTGTCAGTTGTACTGTGGGAGGTATACTAACGGCAAGATTAAATGTGAAATTACACTTAATTCCGCAAGCGCATACACAAACAGTCTTACGCTATCATGTAATTCCAGAGAGCAGCCAGAGCATGGAATCCAGCTAAAATGTTGAAAACATTCAGGAAGGAAAGCGATGTTATCCCGGCTGGGCGGGGCTGCCATGGCTTCCTCCGGGCCAGCGTGCTCCCTAGATAGCCGGTCAGGAAACAGCAGGCAGGATGAGACGCATCCCGACACCCTGACTGCCCCGGCTCTGCCCACTGTGACAGTTGGGGTTGAAGTTTTGCCCAGAATATTCTCTCTTCCTCAGAGAATTTTTGTTTTTTTGACCTCAGTCGTTAAAACATCTGACTCAGGGCACAAAAGAAGAAGTGTTTGATATCAGGGAGATTCCAGAAGCAGCTGCATTTCATGTCAGTGGCTGTGAATATCAGTCAATGATTTCCTTTTTAAATAAATAAAACCAAAAGAAACTGCATTAGTTCTTAGTTCCCTTTTCGATTACTTAATCTATGTTGTCAATGATTTTTGCCTTCCCACAGGGTTGGATTGATTTTCTTGAATGTCTTTGTGACCCTCCTAATCCAGGCTTTAAACCGAAATGAACCGAGTACTTAACTGGTAATACTCATGTCTCAACACTTGTACTTTGAGAATGCGCACAAATTCAGCATTTGTTGAAATCATCTTGCTCTTGCTACCTCCCAGTCCCGATGTCCACCCTCAGCACTGGACACTTACAGACACTTACAGACTTTAATATCAGCAGTGTGCTGAGTAGGGCTGGGCCTACAGGGTTATATATAGTGTTGTACTTTGAAGGCACTTGAGGCTTTTTGTCTACAGAAGTCGGTTTATTGAAGTCTGTTTCCATCAGTCTTGTACTGCATCTCATCTTTGATATACCACCTTGTCCATCCCAGCCAAGCATTACAAGTTTTGCAATATTCAAGCTTCATCCTGAATTCCTGGCATTTCAACTCAATTTTGTTAAAAGAAAAACATGTTTTTCACATATGTTTAATGTATTTCTAAAAAGTATGACTTTGAATTTCCTACTAAAACCTGGGTATCGTATAACTCGCACTGTCCCACTAATATTGTTCTCATCTCTTGGATTTCATCTTCTATTTCACTTTCCATTTTAAACCCTCTACTTGTCTTTATTCTCCTTTCTTCCCTATAAGTCTTCATTTACTTATTTTCCCAGATTTTCCTCTCTACTCGCCCCCTGTTCTCTCTCTTTTTTCTATTTATTTTCATGGGCTTAGTTAAGAACCTATGGACTTACCACTTAAAATAAATGTCACACACATCTGTGTTTGATAAAACATTTTTAATGCTTCAAAACTGTTGTTTTCTTTCTTTAGGTGCTAACAAATTTGTATTGATGTATTATTTTTGCCACAATATTATATAAAATTCAATATTTTAAAAGAGTGAATGCTTTATTTTGGTTGAATGTATGATCTTACGTCTTTTTTATTTTATAACACAATTACAAACTTGCTTCAAAAGGATTCATTCTTACTTTTTTTTCCTTCTCGTCAGGTGCCGATGATCCTGGTGGGGAATAAGTGCGACTTGGAGGATGAGCGTGTGGTGGGGAAAGAGCAGGGCCAGAACCTGGCCAGACAGTGGAACCACTGTGCCTTTTTAGAGTCCTCTGCTAAGTCAAAGATCAATGTCCTCGATGTGAGTACACACACAGAAACAAACCACTGGGGAGCCTGGCCATATTGTCAACAACTAATCTGCAAAGACCAGCCACAATATTACAATTATCTCTCGCGGCAATCGGCTCTAATTGTAAGAGTAACCTCATCAGTTTTATTTTGTGTTAACAAGGATCCAGTATAGTTTATCTTGGATGCCGGTAGTAATTAGCTCAGCTGGATTATACCTGCTACTCACCCTAGGTTAAACCTACTGTGTGTAAACTGCGACATCAATCCATTTAGTGATTGCTTACACAGTGTGTTAGGATCTACCTCATATGAAAGACCGCTTTTCAGTCACTAACAGTTTTTGTTTTGTGTCTTTCTTAGATCTTCTATGACCTGGTCAGACAGATAAATAGGAAAACGCCAGTGGAAAAGAAGAAGGCGAAAAAGAAATCCAACTGTGTCCTGCTTTAAAGACCCCCACCCTCTCCTGCCCCTGCAGCAGCTCTGAGCCAGGTGTGTGTGTGTGTGTCTAAAATTTCATAACATGTTAGTCATAAAGGCCCAGTTGCTGACATATTCATGAGGTCATGATGCATAGGAAGGCTGTAAGGTTAATCAGCGTTACATAATATCTTGTTATGTCATCTTAGCTTCATCAGGTGTAGTTTGTCATTCATCATAGATTATGAGTTTGTTTGCCTTCAGCGCAGTCAAGTCACATTTAATATTACATCTTATGAACAGTACTTCCTTCTTTTGCATGCATGGACCTATTTATATAGGTTTATAGTGACTTATTCTACTGTCAGCAATCCATAGAATATACTTTTTCTTTAAAGATATCTTGTATACTGAAGGCTTTGATTACTTTTTAGATTAAGGAATCCGAACGCATGAAACAGTTGAGGAATGTAAACTTTTATTTTGCATACTGCAAGACAGAAAAGATGTTCCTGCAAATTCAGCATTGCGTACTTTTCAAAACGTACATATTTTAAAATAGTTAATATGACATAAATACTCAGTAGTTAGTTAGTAAGTATTCAAAGATAGATTTACCTCTGATTTCTGAAGTACGAAACAAGAAATGTTGTGTGTCATGTTTTTTTTTTCTGTTAAACAGAGTTAGTTGTGGGTTAATAATTGTTGTGTTATAAAGTTGTAGCCGTTAGTAAGAAGGTTACGCAGTTAATAGGGCTTACCTCTCGATACACACTACAGAGCTCTCCCCGACTGTAGCGCTCTTCAGCAAAAACAATATGGCTGCAGTTGTTTCAGTATGGTGGTGTATGCAAAACTCGTATCATACGGGAAATGAAAACCTGTGTACTGGATTCAGTAATACCGCCCAGCACTAGATGGGGGGTGCAATTGGGTTTTTTGTAAGTAGTCCAGTCCAGTTTAATTTATTGGTGATGTCGGCGTAATTCTTCTGTATCCTGGATTAAGAGCGTAGTCGTAACAACAGATCAGTTTCTTTCCGGTTTATTTGTGTCTCGTCTCTTTCAGTAAATGACTGCAGTTGATATCCTATGACAGTAATAACTTTTCTTTGATACTGGTGAATTCCAGATCCAGTAAATGTTTCTGTACAGGCCAACATCCTCTGAGTCAGCCTTCGAAAGTGTGAAATGCTTTCATTAGCGTTTTCTTTTTTCATCTTTACTGCTGCTGAATGAGTGAGTGAGTCACTGTATGATGGCTAGATTTAAATATGAACCTCAGCACACTGCAGCAGCTGGTTAAAGGAGGATATCCTAATCTGTCATCACGTTGTTTCCCAGGAAAAGCAGAATCGCTTCTTCTTTTTTTAATTTTTTCACTGTTTTTTAACAGTTTGGCCGCATACTGGTAATGAGGAAGTCTGAAAGCAGACACGCACAGTAAACCAGACTGCTTATTATTACTGTCAGTCCTTCTAAATTGAACAGCTAGTCTATTCATTTCACAGTACCGTTTATTGCATCACATATGGTAAATATCAAGAATAAATAATAAAGATTCTGCCTATTGCCTATTTTGTGACCTATGCAGTACAAAAATAGACAGTGTTGATAGTATTGAGTCATACCAGCACTGTTACTCCTTTCACTACAGTTTCATTCTTTATATCTGCGGAATATGTCACTGACATGAAAAGATATAAATATTTTCAGTTCAAATGCCCTGTAGCGTACAATTAAATGCTTTAATTGTATTGTATTTATCAAAGGCAAACTCAATATGGAAAGATAGGGCTGGCAGCAGCAGCAACACTCTGTGTGAACGGCACACGTGTGCGAGCCGCAGCAGTTCAGCAAGGTAGCCGTCACGCACAGGTAGAGGCAGGCAGCGTGTCCACACAGTGTGCAAAATTACCACAAAGCAGTCATGCTTATTGATTTGCATCCATGCCCGTAATGGCCTTTTAACAGCCAGAAATAGTAAAGGCAGAGAAACCTTGGTATAGGTGGTGAAGCAAAATCTCCGCAGGGAGACGAATCTCTATTATCTCACAGTATACATTATCATAGTACCGACTTCTAATTGTAGCTGCTAATTGACCTGACCGTACGTTGGGTCAATATATGCTCCAGATAAGATTTAACCCTAGATAACCCATCTGTCACTGACTTACAAAGTCCACAGTAAGTATGTTTCCACCCTGATGTGGAAAGTTTCCTTTGAAAGATGAGTTTAGGTTCAGTCAGTTGAGCAAATCTTGTGAGATCTCATGATATGCATCCAGCCTCACGTGGAGATTACTAAGTAGGGCCTCAGTGTTTCCAAACAAGGTATAACCCTAAACTTTGAAGATATAGGCCTGAAGAGTAGCTGCTACCGCGGTGGCAGATAATGGGCATCCAAGAATAAATAAATAAATACGTCTTAAGGCAAATGTATTCATAGCTGTTCCCCATGGCCACTATAAAAGGCTAGACAGTGTCTCCTCACAGGCTTTCGTGGTTTTGCACTCCTATGTACACACTATGTGCCGTAAGTAGTTGTTTGAAGCATTAAAGAAAAGAGATTGAGAGGGAAGTTCATGCCTGGGGGGGGGTGTGAATTTTGGATTTTCTTTTGGAAAGTTACAAATATTATAATTAAGGCTTCAACACTTTATTTTGTTAGTTTGTTGATGATTCAGGAGCACGACGCTGCCTTAACACTTTGTTTGACCTCCACTGCGTTTGGTCAGTGAGAATAATGGGCAGCAGGGTCCTTAAACTAAAGGACTTGTAGTACAAGCAGCCATTTCTGTGGATGTGTCAACCATGTAGGGAGCCAGCAGCATCCAATCATGATGTATCAGGATCAGAACTTAGTTACTTCTGCAGGAGAGAAACTATTGCCTCTGGTGTGATCACTTTTTTCTTCCCCTAAGATCAGGCATCAGCATCCAGGGCAGATCATATCAAAACAGATGAATAGTCACATTCTGTGCTGAACTGTGTGATCTTTGTGCTGTCGGCTAGTGTTGAAGAATGAGTAGAATGCAAAATAAAACTGCAAAATGACATTGTGCAAGAATACAACAGTGTAGTTGTACTGAGAGTTAGTGCAGTCAAATATGCTGATGTAATTGTACCCATTAAAACTGTACAGATGTAACATAAACAGTGCATGTCTGGTGTCAATAGTAGGTCCTCTTTGTTGTTTGGAAATTAAAATGGGTGTAGCTGGACAACCCGCAGTTTACAAGAGTTTTTCAAGAGTCTTTCAGAAGGCCTTACAGTGACTGTTAACACATTTTGGGCACTGTTGTCAGAACAAAACTTCAATGTTGCCAAACCAGCCAAGCACACAGCCAACAGCAGAGATTTTATATCTACCTTCCTCAGTCGCATTTAACTTGCCGTGCGAGGGGAAATAAAACTGTGATATTACCGATAACGCTGGATTAGCGATACAGACAGTGCCATTGTGCCCAGCCCAGACATCAGGGTCGCTAAACCACCCACGGCGTTCCTCGTCTGAATCCATCTGTGTTGGTCAGTTAGGGCTCCAGTGTGTGTGTGAGAGTGAGACCTCTGTCAGCATGGCCCGGGGCGGTGTCTGCCCCCCACTCCCCCCTTTCACACGCTGGCCAGCCCAATGAACCAACACTAATGGGATTACAGCCCCACTGTTCCACTGTTCACAACACACCAGCTCATACACAGAGAGAGAGAGAGAGAGAGAGAGAGTGAGAGAGGGGTTACAGTGCCAGCCTCAGACAAGACGGAGAGAGAGTTAATCGGACATTTCACTTTGTACAACATGGCCGTTTTCCAGTTTGCTGCCCTCATGATCCATCTGTCTGTGATTTTTACTGGGACAGGAAGTGGCAGGAAGCTGATACCTGTTATGATGGTGAATTGATTCTGAAGGTGTAGACTATTAGTATTAAATATTAAATTCCCTAAAACCCGCATTGTAGGACATAGTTACATACAGTACTACGTGTAACTTTGCATTTCAGAGACGTTTGGACAGACCTTTAGAGGCCTTTTTTCAGATTCTTTTGGGCAGGTGTAAGCAACAGGTGACCTTTTTTTTCCCCTCAGTGTTTAACTCTGCACAGTGTTGAGTCAGATGTGCCCACATGTTGTTTTATCAACTTTGCCATTAGAGTTTATAGACTTGGTAATTGAGCTTTGGGTTGTCTTTTAAACCTTTGAAATCTAGAAGTTAACCTGGATGTGACTCCAGCCGGGAGTTTTGTGTCTAACAGACTTCACAATGAGCCAAGGAGACATTTTGACACATCACATTAGCAAAGCACATAAACATTGACATTAACGATGGCCACATTGCATTTAAATGACAGTGAGTTGCAGTAGCATGCATAATAGCATGGTCCTGGACCTGGAACATCTAAATGGAATGGATCCATAGTTAATCTGGTTTATAACATCAGTGTTTTCTAAGTATCAGTCAAAATATCTGCTGTGAAAAAGGCTTACCCCTACTAGGCTCCCCACTGAGACCATTCAACTGCTCTCACTGTCCAGCTGGATGGCAGGAGGCCTTATAAATGAGTGGAAAACCTGCCACTCAAAGAGCCAGCTGGGCATGCACTTACAGGACTATGTGTGTACTCACTTCTATTTCTATTTTGTCTGTGCTCTGCCCTCAGCCTTGCTTTGGTAAAAACTTGAGGCTAGTTTGATCAGACAACACAGAACTGTCCAGGCTCTCAATGTCCAAGCACACAAACATGGTTTTAATTACAGCTTAAAGCAGCACAAGTCTGTCAATCTGAACAAAGAGAGCTAAAGCCATGTTCATATTGGAGTATATTCCTCTTGGGACTTTCTAATAGGGAAGTACTCCTTGCCTTACATCAGCCAGAGACTGTTAATTAATGTAATCAAACCCAAATTAAATGGATATGATGTTGTATTGTCTATGCACAGTATTAAAATCCTCACACGGTGAACTGTGTCATCCTGCAAGCATACTGATGCTTCGTATGATGAGTTGTTGAAATGCAATCTTTACCATCTATCCCGTACGATGTGAGCATAAGCACAGAATAAACCACAGAGCAGGAAGTCGCAACCGTGAGACCTGACTGAACTTCCACAAAAGAGCCAGACAGATATCTTCCGCGGTTGCACCTGTACACAGCAACAAACAGCAGACCGCCTCGTATGGCTTTTTTCAAAGTAGTCAGAGGGAGGGATGCATGGACTGTGACCCATCGCAGCTGGTCAGAAGTTATGAGCAAAATAACACAAGACAGGGTTTCTCCCCCATTCTTGTCTCCTCTATTCACTGCTGGCCACACTTTCTGTTCTCAGACTAGACAGTAAGAGGCAGTTGGTGAGAAATGGGGAACCAGCATTTAGAATGAAATGCACATTCGAAGCCTTTTTAGAGAAAAATCAAACTTTAGATCTGTTTTCAAGGTTGGTATGTATAAAACCTCTAAGAAATGGTCTTAAGATTGGTCCTAAAGCTTGACTTCTGACCTGAATCTTAGGACATAGTATACTCAGGATAACCTTTAACAAAGTGTGATTTTTAAACGTTGACTCCAGTGAGTAATAAGGTTACTGTGTCAGGGCGGCAGCACTTTAGTCATCATCAGTTTTATACACACCTTGTGATGATAAAGACTATTACTCATTGTATTCAATGCTTAAATTCTTCAGTGTATTGAAATATGCAAGAGGAAAGTTTATATAAGGTCACGTTGTGTTGATTATCAATATATGCTGCTTGGGATATTATTCATGAAAAAATTAAATAGGTTGAAGGGTTAAGTAACCATTTAAAGTGACACTCACCTGTGGAGGTCCCTATAAAATGTTGGTATTGAGTTCATGTTTAGTGGATTATGTTTTTCACCAAAAAAGGGAACTATTGGTGCCTTTTCTTTAAAAACAGTTTATCTATTTAAAATCAGTTTAATCAGTTATTTTTATTGGTTGTTATTCATTGTCTTTCAAACTTACTAAAATTAATTCTCATATGTGCAGCTAATAAACAGTAATTAAAACAAATATGTATACATGCTGAATCCATCATGTCCTGAACTTTTTAATGTTGTATAGGTAGTGTGGGTATTGGCAGACAGAAATATGGAGGGGATATAGCTACCTCTGCTGGCAGACCAAGTCTTTACACTTGGGGACATTTATGCATGACACTCAATCTTAATTCTAGGAATAAGAGCAAAAATGCATCATTGTTAGAATAATGCCATAATTTCTTATATATAACTTTATATATAATGACCCTGATTTCTGTATTTTCCTTTTCTTTTCTTCCTACACATGTGATGTCACTGACCTGCCACTAGAGGGCACTGACAACTTGTAGATGGTGTTATGGAAACTAATCTAGATATGTAATAGGAGTTAAAGAGGCCATACTATGCTTTTTGGAATTTTCCCTGTTTTTTACTATGTCAATGTATATTTTTGTGCATGTAAAAGTAACAAAACCCAAAAGTCCACGCCAAAGAGAGTAACTGTCTCCTACAGAAAACACACTGCACTACCTGACACACCTCGTTGTATTTAGCCTTTTCTCCCATTACAACATTACATCACATAACAGACAATAGCTATAGGCTAGGTGACCAGTCCCACCCACTTAAACCCAGTGAATCTCCACAGCTTTCTTCTCCAATTATGGGAGCTGACTAATCATCAGCCATCCGACTCCACAACGCCACAGCACCCAGTACCTCCCGCCTCCGCTGATTGAGACTGTTGACTGTAAACTATTAACCTGTTAAGCACAACTTTTTTTTTTTTTT